AAAAAAAATCCTGTTGATACCCCCACCAACAAAAAACCATTACAGCTGCCACTGCCTCTATGCCATCCAGCACTCAAGGTATAAGGTATATAAGGTCACAGTTTTAGAGGCGCCACCAACCCAAATCCTGCAGAGCTGCTCTGGGTCTTGAAATAAGGACTGTACCAAGATACGCTGGAGCTTTTTGCATCATTTCTGCCCTGGTACCACTGGTGCAATCATCTTTATCTTGGCATCCTTACGTCTTACGAGAAACAGCAGTTACTACGGGAAAGTATAACCAGGCAAGCAGGAAGGTATCGGGGATCAGTTCTGGAACAGAAGGGAATCTGCTTTTGTTGGTCTCAGAGGCAAAACAGCACCGTCAGAAGGAAGCGTTAGCGTACCGTCGTGTACCTCCTGCTAATCACCTGTTAGTCCGAAATTACTTCCGTGCTCTACTGGTCTGCTCACGACCCGTGGCAAGCACACACCACTCTGCTTACATTATTTATTATGTCCGTGTTGTCAGCATCTGAATATGACATTTCTTCAAATGATGAAGAAATGGTCAGCACACACCTTGAATGCCTTAAAGACTTAGCGTGTTGAAATACAGACCTCCTCCGTGGAGCACCCAAGGCTTTTTTCTTTCAAAATAAGCAACTTCCCAGCTGAGCAGAGGAGCACCCATTACTGCTGACATGGGAGAAATAGGAGGTGGGACTGGAACTGCTCACCAGAAAGACTTCAATATTCAGTTATTCAATAATGAAAACTAACAGTGAAGGTGATTGCTGACCTAGTGGTTGAGAGTGGATGCCAAGTAATATGAGGTCTAAAACCATTATTGCCCATTTTTTTCCATGTTTTGTTCTTCTCCCACACTGTTCTGTTTATATGGGCAGGTACACGGGAAGTGATTGGTGTTCATGTGTGTTTGCAGGACATTTAGTAAGCTGCTATAACTGATACCACTGGCTGCTAGCAGAGCATTTGCTCCAATTCCAGCCCATGAATTTTTATCTATATAAAATATCACAGAATACTATGAAAATTAATTTCTATATGCACAAGGATTTTATGAAACTGTACAGAAAAATGGAGTTTCAATAACACATCCCACTCCCCTTAGCCAAAACCAATTTCTGGCATTTTATCTGAACAATTATATGATTAGTATGAGATTGCTAAGGGTAGGTTTAGGTTGGACATGAGGCAGAAATTCTTCACCATGAGGGTGGTGAGGCACTGGAACAGGTTGCCCAGAGAAGCTGTGGATGCCCCAACCCTGGGAGTGTTCAAGGCCAGGCTGGATGGGGCTTTGAGCAACCTGGTCTGGTGGAAGGTGTCTTTGCCCATGGCAGGGGAGTTGGAACCAGATGATCTTTAAGGTCCCTTCCAACCCAAACCATTCTGTGACTCTGCAATTTTAACTTTGTGCCAGTTATCACAACGTTACTGGACCACTTCCAAGCTTCACACAGCAGCTGGCATTTCTTAGAATAACATTGTAATATTAATTTGAAGGTATTACTTATACATTGAAATTAGATTGCTAAAAACTAGCATTTATTATTTCCCACTAAAATTTCTCTTGTCAGGAGAAAAAAAATCCTGGAAAGACAATATGAATCTACCCTTTTGAAACGCAATACATTTTTCTTCATATTAATGTGTTCTTATTATAAGGAAGATTCATCATAATTTCTGTCTCGAGTACCTACATACCACTTCTGAAAATAGCTCATTTCATTAGATTGCAAACTGCTCCATCTTGTGGTAACACAGCAGCATTAATACAAAACAGAAACCTCCTTACAGCTTTACCTTCTGACTGACTGGTTTCCACACTGAAGAAACGTGGCAATTACCAGAAATCGATGGCACAGATAAATTCCATTTGTCTTAGAGACAGTTTTGGTATCTTAACTCAAAGCAAAACATCAATGTGGTGGAGAAAGAAAAAAAAAAAAAAAAAAAAAAAGAGCCTGGATGAGTTACTACATACATTGACCAGAAAGCACAGAAGGCTTATTTCTTTTTGCCCACATTTAGAAAATATTCTAACGTTTAAAGTACAAGCACCTGTCACATTTAGGACACTTTTCTGAAATCTTGTTGGCAAAATAAGTTGATCCACGCTGCAAGCGGTTCAAAATTGAGACCTGAGAAGCCTGGCTCAGACACAGTTCGTAGGTGGGTGCTCAGGACCGCTTCTGTCAATAACCTTGGGAATGCAAGGGAATGAGAGGAACGGGAAGTTAAAACAGATTATTCAAACCGCTAATCCAATTCTACTACTGTGCTGCTGTCACAAACCAAAACTAACAACCCCAATGGAATTTCCTTATTTGGTTCTCCCATAAAGATACTTCGGTTCTGATGAATCTGTAAAAATGAGTGAAAAAAACGCTAGTCTCACCTTTGGATCAGCTTTCATACTACAGAAAGTCCTTCTTAACAGAATTATCTCATCTCCTAACTCCTAAATGTTGACCTGTATTGCAGATGATTGTGAGGAAGTGAAAAATGTGAAAAATATGTACAACTTTTTTTTTCTTTTTAAAATGCTTCTCTCTTTTAGCTCAATTTCAGAATTACAGTTGGAAGCCTGAGCAAGTAGCTATGAAGCAAATGACCTCATTGCACAGCATTAACTAGTATTTCTAGGGACTTCCCTAAAAAGTTGTGATAAATTCTAAAGCTTTACTCTGTCTAAAATTTTTGCTGGGTCTAAACACCAAAGCCTGTGCCCATACTTTTTTGGAAGTTAAAACGTTAAGAAATCCTTTAAAACATGATAAAAGACTTTGTGTGTTGCAAGTACTGATATGCTGTTGCACTCTTACAGCTTTATTGCCTAATAATGAGGTAGGAAAACTAATATGGTCAAACTGGTCGATTTTCATTTGTCTTAAGATAAAAATTCTCCCATTTAATCTCCTCCTGTATCTTCTTCAGTTAGCACCTTCATTTAAGTCCATGTGCTTATGTACGTTTTGCTACGTAAGCATGTCAAAAGAATCCTTAGGTACCTGTCCCAGCATGGATATTTACTAAACACTTCTATTACAAGTCACAGCTTTTACTGAAACATGATATATTTTGCTACACACAAACAATTCAGAGTTAAATTAGCAGAAATGCTAATTAGGCCATTTTGTATTTGCCTTAGTGCAAAACATGTCTCATGTAACCCCCATTTGTTTTTCAGTTAGGTGAATTGCCTTAGCTGTTGAATTCAACTTAACAAGTCATAGAATCATTTAGGTTGGAAAAGACCGTTAAGATCATCAAGTCCAACCGTAAACCTAACACTGCCAAGTCTGCCACTAAACCATGTCTCTAAGTGCCCCACCTACCCGTATTTTAAATACTTCCAGGGATGGGGACTCAACCACTTACCTGGGCAGCCTGTTCCAATGCTTGATAACACTTTCAGTGAAGAATTTTTCCCTAATATCCAATCTAAACCTTCCCTGGTGCAGCTTGAGGCCGTTTTCTCTTGCCCTATCACTTGTTACTTGGGAAAAGAGACCAACATCCACCTCGCTACAACCTCCTTTCAGGTAGTTGTAGAGTAACATATTTTGATTGAGACTAACTACATTAGCAATGAGAAATCTTGCCCAAGTTTACTGAGTATTCTTATGAAAAAAAAAAAAAAAGAGTTAAAAAGCAGCACAGAGTGGCTTTGAGGAGTAAGGAATCAGAAACACATCAGTCAAGGATGCATACCCAGTTTCTGACCTTCTCTGTTTTACTCAGTTCAAGATGTCTGTTTACTTGCTGCCCTCTCTTGAATGATGCTCGGGAAAATAATGACCCATACACATCACTCAGAGTTGTTTATCACCTGCAGTGACCTGCTAGCACCTTTTGTTATACCAAAAATGTTACATCTCAGGGATAATCTACAGCAAATAAGAAGCAGGACAGGTACTCTAGCACTTTGAAAACCTGACTAGGGAGGAAGAATTCCAAGTACTGAAATCTTGTAAATTAAAAGAAAGTTGGAAGGTGCCCTGTTAAAACTACTGAGTTGATTTTTTTTTTTTTTTTTCTGCTTTCTCCTGGTGAGATGAACCTTATACTCTTTTTTGCTGTAGCCCAGTTCTTACGGGAAAGATGAAGGCTATGTTCTTCCCTGGAAGCTCTATGTGTTTCTCTATGCGTTTGACCTCTGTCCCAGGAAGGAAGCTGGCAATAAACCAAAACCTTGGGCTTCTGGGTGAGTGCTGTAACCGCTAATCTATTTTGGAAGGCTACAATTATAGACAGGAGGTGGGCAGCACTGTCATCACCTCCTGCTTCTGATTTTAAAAAAGAAAAGTTATGACTGTATTTGGCAAAGAGTCCAATGCTATCTTTGTGCATTAGCCATATTCAGAACACACCTCCTTGATCAGGCCCCTTGAGATTTAAGGGGTGGAGAAGAGTATTCTAAAAGATTAACTTCAGCCTAATCCCTCCAGCTCTTTCTGCATTTGGGGAAAGAAGAAAAAAACTTGACTCCTCCAGAGGGTGATTCAGAGCACCTAAATTTAGGTACTTGCTCTGAATCACTCCCTACTTAACCTAGGGAGGCATCCTGGAGATAACATATTCCATAGGCAAAGGTTATCCTGTGTGACTGTTCCTCTCTCAACATCCCCTCAATTGTCAGTACCATTCTCACTAGTTTCTCAACTCCACCATAGTTTAGGTGGGAAGTTGTCACTTATCCTCCGATACCTGTGAGGCAAAAAGGGAGGCATGTCAAAGTTGTCCAAATACCAGTTTAGGAGCTGCCTAATTCCAGAATTTAGACAGTCAAGTCACTAAACAAATAGACTGGGTTTTAAAAGTTATAATCCACCACCAGTTTCATAAATCATTATTAACTTCAGTGGAGCTAAGAAGCAAAGCTGGCACTCAAGCTACTATTTTAGATTTAGCATTCTGGCACATCACACCACGATTTTCCACAATTTTAAAGAAAGTTGTTCGTTGCTTTTTAAACAGAGAAAACATAGTAGTTATAATGGAAAAAGTCTTTATTACTAAATATATTTATACAATAGTTTTAAATCATAATTCAGTAGGTTTGAAATTCTGGTAGCATTCTGTCATTCTTTAAATACTCAGACTTATCGCTTTTTCCACGTGAATTTCCGTCTGGCTCCCTCTTGACCAGGCTTTTTTCGTTCCTTCACACGTGGGTCAAATGTTAGTAATCCAGCTACAAAACACAGAAAACCACACATTTGTTTACTGTTATTAGTTAATATTACAGATATACTACATGTGGGGGATTCAAGGCAGCCAGTAACTTTGCATATGAGTTGTAACATCTAGAAGGATAAGGGTTCAGTATAAAACACACGGAAAGGAATTTCATCAGATCCTCTAACATTTTAACTTTTCTTCAGTAACCAAACTTTCTTCACATTTTACCATATAGACCACTAAAAAAATCCCACATTGTTTTATATCTATATTGCTTAAGCCTTTAAAGGAATGGTCTCAAAGCTTTTTTTGATTGTGCACTCCTATCAGTAAAATATTTTTGAGCATGCACCCCTAATATATGTGTATTTATTCATTTATAAATTATATACACTACTGAAATTCTAAGATTTTCTTCCTGCACCCCAATGGATCATCTTGTGCAACACCAGGGTACACACACCCCACTTTGGAGACCACTGCTTTAAAGTACACTTAGTGTTTCCAAAGTATATTGGGCAATGTCCAAAACACGTTCAGAATTATGCTGATCTCATTACAGATACCCAACTCATTACAATGTCAGTTTACAGGGGTATTCCTAGGCAGTCATACTTGTCAGTACTGAAAAACTATAATCAAAGAAATGTGTTGCAAAGATACTAGCATGAAGATAGCTTTACTTCCATGGATGGCAATAGAGTGAAAAAATCATAGCTGTTGGGCCAGTAATACATGCAGGTATTCTCCCTACTAGTCCAGAAAGAACATAGTTAAAAGCTCACTGTTAATAATTCTGTATTTTCTGAAACAGTATGGCATCTCATCACTGAGAAGCATCAAATACTGTGGTTATCCAAATAAGTTCTACCTTATCCTAACTTGTAAACTCTAAATAAAGCAAGAGAGGAAAGAGCTCCTTCAGTCTGGCTAGTTGCATGTAGTATGGTTATGGTCATTACTATCCCTTCAAAGCTGCCCCTCTAGTGTTTAAGTTAACTTTTTTAAACATGAACAAGATGTGACTAACCAAGTAAAACAAAACACAATCTCAGTACCTTACAGCTTACTAATGCCTGATCCAGATTTATTTGTTAGTGAATATACGTTCATGTTTTGTGATTCTATGTTGAGGCAATATAAGCTGGTTAATAGACCTAAGAGACGTCATGAACAGATGGAAAAATGCTCAAGAAGTCATCCAAAATGTACACAAAGGATGCTAGGAAACAAGTGAAAACAATTTATAAATAAATGCAGATCCCTTTCATATAATACACAACGTTTCACTGGGGTTATTTACTCAAATTTGCACTATCTGATCCTTAACGATCCTTGTATTAATTCCGTTAATTACCAGAAACACATTAAGAAACATGGAAATAATTTCAATTCCTACCTTGCCTCATGAATTCCACCTCCTTTTCTGTCACAAAACTCCTTAAGGCTTTTGCAGATGCTAAACGTATTGCTCCAGCCTGTGCAGATCTTCCTCCACCAGAGACTGTGCAAACCATGTCATGTTTTCCAACTCTGTCAAGAAACTGGAAAGGGAACAACAACTGTTCTCTAAAAATAAAAAAAAATCAAAATAATAAAAATTAAATATATACACATTTATAAAGTGACATGCTATGTACATTTCTTATCGTAGTATACACAAAAAAAATAGTTAACTTTCAGGCAGAGATCCAGAAAGGCATTCATATCTCTGATTTCCTACTGGTATCAACTAAATAAATGGGAAATTAGCAGCTAGGAGCATATTCAAAATGTCAATGTTAAGTATTTTAAGTTTAGTTTTACAATTACTTTTGTTTCACTAATTATCTATAGATGCCAAGATCCACCAGCTCTGGATATTCAAACTGAGCAATCTCTCCCTCTATTCCTGAGCTCAGAAACCACAATATAAAATAAACATCACATAAGGGATAGAAACCCTCTTATGTCAGCCTTATGAGAAGTCTTCTCTGTATCAGACTGTGCACATCCTCCAAAATCTGAAGTTTTACATGAAGCGTCTCACCTTGTTTGCTTCCACTATGTTACTGTATGCCAGAGTAATTACACATGCATACAGTTTGCAAATCTCTCGGGAAACACTTAAAGACACTGTTTATTATTTATTTGTTTTTAAAATAAACTGCAAGCCCTTTCTAAGTGAACCAAAATTTGAACTATCCAAAACAGTCCGTGCTCTTGGCTTTTGCATCCCTTCAGAAAGGGAAAGACAAGAAACACAGAGCAAGGCTTACCTATCAGTTCTTATACTACTGACTCCTGAAAACTAGGAGGAAAAGCAAGACCAATTTTCATAAAACAGATAGTTATACAGAAACAAGAACATAGCATCAACTCTGTGGAACACCATGCCAAAATATAATTGCATGGCATAACTTTTGGTGGAATAACTTAAGTACAGTAAGAATACAGCATTTCATAGTGCTCTTACCTGTCCTGCAGCACTGGGAAGTAATGTAAAATGTCTATTCCATTCACTGTAATTTTTCCAGTCCCATTGTCATAAACTATTGCAGAAGCTCTTGCAGTTTTTCTTGTACCTTAAAGGAATTAAAACCAATCAATATTCTACAGAACTTCAGGTGCCCAAGAAGTTAAGCAAATCTCAACACTTTCACACAGTTTCTTTTTGGAGGCTGAGGTAACAAAAAAAAAATTTAAGAGAAGGAAATAAATACAAGCAATGAACAACTAGGTTTAATATATTTTAATCAACGTCTATCAAGGGGAGGCAAGTGTATGTTGGGAGGAGGTAGAAGTAACACTTTACCTCCCATAACTTCAGTAGATCGGGATACTGTCTTGACCCGGTGATGTCACAGTATATGAAAATAAACAGTTTGTTGAAGACCTATGTTTACCATAAGTACAATTTCTAGTAATATTAAAATACTTTACAAAATCATACAAAGGTATAGAAGTTTAAGAATACTCACATGGAAAAGGTTAACACTTTAATTACACTGGTATAAGCGATGTTTATGCATCAGTTAGCATAGTTTCCTCAGAAATTACTACTGAAAGTTAGTTCTCTAAGTGCATTAGATTCAAGTTAAACAATGACAAATTCTCTGTGCTAAAGCCTAAGACCAATCTTCTGTAGCACAAAGGAAGCAAACATTCTGATAAAGGAATCATGAAACAAATTAGACATTTTGCTTAAGTTAGGGGGGTGACGGGACACAAACAAGACTGTTCTTGAACTTATAAAATCTGATGACTTTTCTTAAATGACATGGCTTGCATGTTTATCAAACTTCAGTAACTACTGTTCTGAAGACACTGTTGAAAACAAGTGTGGATTAAATCCCAGTTTGGTGCTGTCACATCATCTGGAAGCCAACCCAGCCAGAACAGAGCTCTCTGGCCATTTTGGCCCTCAAATTCGCTGCGACCTTTGCTCTTATTATCATCTGCTGCCTGCTGCTTAAGAATACACGTCGTCTCTGACCAAGATTCCTCTTAAATGAACAGCATAGATATAAGGTGTGCACATAAGCTTTGTCCAAGAAGTTGTCAGACTTTCCTACCCATGTTGTTGCTACATTATTTTTTCTAGGCAATCGCTCATACCACGTATCATATCGTATCATTCTTCCACTATGTGTCCCTCCACTGAAAACGTAAGCAGCCTGTGTTCAGAAGATACAGAGACCTTCCTGGCTTCTCTCTAACATCCCCTCTGCCTCAGTACCAATGACTGATTCCCGTCTCTGTCTGATGCTAGCTGTGGTTCGTCCACTTGTTTAAAAAAATTTAGGAATTCCCTCTTTGCATTTTCCTAGGCTGTTTGTAAATATCCAAATGCCTTGCTATTTATTCTTCACATCTTCACAATTCCCCTTTCACGCCACTTTCACACTAAGCAACAACACTGTTACATTCATGGAATTCTCCATACCTGTTTGTGTTGCCCCAGTCCCCCGCCTTTTATGTTCAAGAGTCAGCTCTTGCAATGAAAGTCCTTTTGTATCCTACAACATGTAGCACAACAGGTTCCTCTCTACAGAGGTACTACTGTATAGAAATACAGATAAAAACTAACAGTTGATAGCCTCTGTGCCAAAACTTCCACTTTGTTACCAGGCCATGTCGTAACTTAGTATGCCATAACATAATTACCAATTATACATGCAATATACACATAAGCACATAAAAATGAAGTAGTGACACATTCAGCAGTGTTGTACATACTATAAAGAAAGTAGTGTGAAGAGGAAAAAATTCTGCATCATTACCAACCAGCTTGAAATTATTACCTTCACCAGTGCTGAAGGCCACTCCTCGCTCATCATACTTCAAGGGCTCAAAAACTACCTTTTGTAACTGCGCAGGAACTTCTTTGCAAAACTTTTGTATGTGCTTCTCCTCGATGTCACCACATGGCAACGTCATCAATTTTTGTAAGAGTTGAATAAATCTTGAATACTGTAGACAACAAGACTTCATTAAAGGATGCAAGTGTAATTGCATTTGCTAAAACTTTCTATTTTTATATAATTGATCTTTCCTACTTCACTTTTATTGATGATTTCTGACAAGATGACACTTTTGCACCTACATGCTGATTTAAGAACAGCATGCAGATGCATCATTTTCTGTGTGACTAAAGATACCTAGCTCTTTCTTCAGGCAACAATGAAACTTTAATTCAAAGCATAACCAACTCCTTTGTACTACAGGATTATTGTATTAGAATGAAATTCATTTCACTTTTAAGAAGAAAACATTGAGGGGGGTCTTCATTCTTTTATTATTGTTTTATTAAAATGGCAAAAGGAAACGATTTTCACCTCATTTTCAGTAAGCCAGCATGTTCATTGACTTGGAAATAATTTTATTTCACTAAACTGAACCTCTTAAATGATTATATTTCATAATATATACAGGAAATACCTATCTATCTATCTTTGGCTGTTCAAGCTGAGTTACTTTAATGTTTATGATTTCCTTTAAAACCGAACAATCAAGCTATTTAAAAATTCAAGAGATACTTGACTTAAAGGGCAACCTCTCGAAATAAATTATCCTTTGCTACTGTGTGGTTCTCCTTCCCCCTTACACCCCCCTCCAAAGTTCTTCAACATGTGATTAAACACCACCGTGTTAACCCATTCACAGGGTGCTAAAAGCTGGGATGTCCGGTTATGAAGTATTACTGGCAGGAGCATTAGACAGCTGGTCACTGGATACAAAGGTATACTGTCATCTAAAATGGATTTTTCATATAGATATCATTACCTTATTTTTGAAGTTTTCTTTACTTACAAGCTGTTACTAGAAGTATTTTTTCTTCTCTCTGTTACCAGAGTCTTCTGCACAAATTAATACTTTTCTTGTAACCTAGCAATAGCCCCTGGAACCCTAACATCACTTAGAGAGCTCCTTCTGTCTAACGATATGACACAGATGTGTGGTAAAGTGAAGAGCAGAAATATAAAACCACAAAAATTTAAAAATTAGAGAGACTATAGATGAAGAAAGCTTCCAACTGTTTTCATTTGCAGAGTGCAAAGGAAAAAAAAAATCAATAGCTCTGATTTTGTTTAATAATGCAAATACCACAGAAAATTTTGTTGCAATGGCAAAATATAAGAATTTGAGCAGATAAGACTGGTAGCTCATACAGAGACATTTCAAATACATTTAAACAATGTTTGTTCCTATATGCTGAGGCTCTGCGGTTTTACATGCGAGAGGCCAGTATGTAAAAGGCTTTGGGGTTGGTTTGTTTTGGGTTTTTGGGGGGTTTTGGGGGTTTTTTTGTTTGTTTGTTTTGTTTTTCAGTTTACTGCAGTCTGCTTTTACAGATGTAGAGTGCACAAACACCAAGCAGTGAAGAATACCAAACTGTTTGGTTGTACAACTAGGCCAGTTCCTGGTACTCAGAGGAAAACCAGCCATTACAATGCAGGAGTTACTGAAAACACTTAAGTCATAACTGCTTCTACTGCGAGCAAGATAGAGGAAATCTCCTGGGTATACCCAGGATGGAGAATTTACAACAGCGATTTCTAACTTATGCTTATGGACCACAATGTGCTCGAGACCTTTTCGCATCGCCCATAGACAAGGAAGCCATCACATGTTAGTGTTCTGGATGACAAGTGAGCAAAGGGCATGTTTGCTGCTGCTAAGCTATTTTTGCAATGATGCTGTCCACGGACAGAAGAGATTGAAGAACACTGTTTCTAGGTGAGAAAATACCTGGGATGCTCAGAAAAATAGCATTATATTCTCTGGTGCTAATCACATTCAAGCTTAAACTTCCAAAAGAAAACTGAAGCTTGGCCACACAGGCTGAACCCGATGTTACAAAATCCACTGCTATTTGGGGGACGGAAAGAGCTCCGAGTGAGAAAAAAGCATACGACTATTAGGATTAATAGTCTTATTCCCAGAGATACATGTAAAGAAGGACTCCAAATCTAGACAGTGATTACAGTTTGCAGACACTGGGGAAACTGCAAAACCCTCCTCTCTCCCACCATATTCGTATCAAGGAGAATATATCCAGAGATATCCGTATCAGACCACAGATCTATGTAGCTTTGTATCTTGTTTCTGATATTTGATTCTGTAGCCAATCACTAAGAAAAAGAACTCCTTATTTCTGATCAGCCTTCTCTGTGATTTTTCTATCATTATCATGTCCTCCTTAAGATTAAATAATCAGAAACTCTGTACAGGTTTACGATTACACAAATCCATCATGTTTCCCATATTGAACACTTACCCCTTTCTCTACAATAAGCAAGAGGTTCTAGCCCTGTCCGTTTTTCATCTGTAACTAGAATAAATGGCCATTTATTTCTATTACAAAGTGTTACTATACTCCATTGCTGACTACAGAATTAGATGACAAGGAACAAGTGCTCTAGGCCTCACAATGTTACCAGGAGAAAAACGTAACAACGGAAAACCCTTAATAGTTCTGTACTGTGCTAGATAAAAAAAGCGACACAGGCCACTTTTCAAGACAACATGAATGTGACAGTGCTGTGAGCATATATAGACTTTATGAGAAGGAAGAAAATTCTTTTGAAGAGCACCTGCTTCTGCATAGTACCTTTTCAGTATCCAAAAATGCACCCACAGTCCATATATTTAAGACACAAGCCTCCTTAAGATTAGAAAGATTAATTACTTACATCATCATCTGACAGTTTTTCTAACAACATTTCTTCCAATTCAATCTTAGTCAGCCATCTGCTGCCAGCCAGGTTTCTGTTTAAAATATCACATATATTCTCCCTTTAATTAACCATGCAATTAGAGTTACATCACAAAGGACCACACATACAGTCTTCGTTCAGAAATACATTTTCCACTACAAATGAATACAGATCACATTCCTATAGTAAACATTGATTCCTATAGTAAACGTTGATTTTAAAAGATCTGTCTTTTGAAAGGGATGGTAACTTCACGTATTGAATTAACCATGTGAAAATTATGAGTATCAGCTATACATTATTCACATTACTGAAGTCCGAGATGGAGCTAGAGTAATATTGTAATAGCAAGCAATCTTCCCCACAACTTAGGACTTAGTTTTAAAAGCCTGCTGCTAGGAAAAATTTGGTTTACAAGCAGCAAAGAACAAAATCAAAGACAGAACGTTAAAATCAAATTCCGAAGTAACATAATCTTGCCTCTGGTCTTTACTCCTCTGTTCAATACAAGAAACTCCACTAGGAGTAAGCATAGTCAAATGCAGCAATGACGCACTGTATTCTATCCGCTCTGTAATCTTGACCTGCTCAGCACAGGAACTGCACTGACGATAGCAAAAGCAGAAATTTCTAAGAAAACAGCCTCATACGGAGATGGTAACACAAAGAAAAACCAATGCTTGACATAAATCTTTGTGAAATATGTATGATACGAAGTGACCAGCTAAACAGAATGCCACCATAAATATACATGCCAACATTATCAGGTAAATTTAAAGCAAACCTGTAACTAGTTTCTTTCTTCAGGTTTTTTAGAAACGATCTTAATGAACGTTTTCAGTGGCATTAAGGAAGCTGTGATTCAGAAAAGCACTCCTTCTGAAGGTGATTTTAAGTAGTACTTCTTCTTAAGTATGTATTTTAATGCTTTTCTGAGTCAGCGCATGAGAAACGTTTATTTAGAAACAATGCTGGTTTTAACGGTAATTCTAAAAAGTTTCCAATCCTGACAAACTCAAGTATATACTTACATTTAAATATTGGTACTTCAAGGGAAGCCAATGAAATTTTTTACATGTGAAAAGCTATAAACTTAAAGCATTTCAAGATCAGGTCCTAAACCTACAGTTAACATTACAGAATGAGTCCACAACAGATTAATTTGGGGACAGGGACAACAAACCAGCCCTTCCCACTCACCCTCTACCTACACTTTGGAGATAAATTATCCAGGCTAATCTCATAGGAACTACCACATCTAGTGTGGAAAACAAGTATCAAAAATCCTTTAAATTCTCTGAGCTTTTACAAACCTAACAGGGAAAAAAAACCTTTCAACTCTGACCAGCTTTAGGTCATTCTTCACATCACTAAATCCACGCGCTGAGCTGTAAGGAGTCAGGTTATTTTTCAGCAGCATACACCAAGAAACTACATTCATTTGTTCTCTTGTCTGCTCAGAAGCTAACGTGAATCTATGATAAAATATTCTGTGGGTCATAGGACACTACTTATATCACAAAGAAATATGAACTTCTGTTATTTAAGAAATTGAAATAATCTCAGCAAATTAATCCTTTCTCTTCCTAACATAAATAACAAATGGCTGAAATTAAGAAATGACAAACCAACATGATGTGCAACTGGAACGGCACATAAATCTGGCTAGAAAATACACAGCGAGAACAAAGATAAAAACGACTTGGCCAGTGAAAAAGTAACTATACAGAAAAGCAGTAAACGCCAAAATCAAAACTACCTAGCTGTATCCATTTCTTTTAAAGACTTGCCTAATTTAATGTTCTAATATATCATAAAAATCCTTGCAAAAAATCTCAAAATAGAAAATCAAGAATACAGCCTAAGAGAAGCAAACAGTTCTCAAAGCATATACCCATTTCAAAGACAATCCTGACTGTATGCTCTAAGAAACTAACAACTGTAGCATCTCCCATTCTTCTGGTCGACATGTATCTTTTCTGTCCAGCGGCTAACTAGCTGCAGAGCTTGCTGTATGCACCACAGAAGTCAAAGAGGAAAAAGAGAAACTAAATTCAATTACTAATAATGGTGATACGTAAACAAATCCAACCAAATAAACTTTCCTAAAATTACTATAGTTTTTGACAATTTAGCTGTTCAAAGCCATTAGAAGAAAAACAGCGAAATTAAGTATTTTGATACTCCAAGTTAAATATTGCGAAGTGAAAATATTTAAGAACTGTAATTAATGAAAGACTATTAAAGAGATCAGCTTTAGGCCTCAGGATTCTTCCAAAAGATAAGCAACTTATTTGGTATTTTAAAAGCCCTTGTTTTCTTATAAAGAGTTTACCTCCTTTTTCAAAAACCTTTCGTGAATAAATAATTAGAAAACTTCATATACAGAAACAGAATCCTGGATATCCTCTACTTATTTTCAAATCACAGTTCAGAACTTTTATATAGGAGAGAATCAGAACTTTTATATAGGAGAGAATATTGAAAAGAGTGGGGAGAGATTAAAGAGCAAGAGAAATAGGTGGTTTCTCTATTTTAGCAGTGAGAAGTGAGCACTCCACACTTACCTACTACAGGTAAGACTTTTCAACCTGAAATTACCATACAAATATTAGACAAGGCATAGGGAAAAAGTCTGAAAATGTGTTTGTGGAATAAAAGGCAGATAGGGTTGAGAACTACAAGAAGTGCCAAAACAACATATTGAAGCATTTTAAGAAAACTAGTATCAATATTCATTCTAACCAGAAACTTACCTTTTCTCCTTCCGAGGAGGAAGGTCTTGAGCTGCCAGTTGATCTTGATATTTCTGAACATTCAGCAGTTTTTCGTATGTTTCCTAAAATGTATATGGAAAAAGTATTTAAATACACTTTTCCATTTAATATTTAAATTTTGTTATTTAAAACAGATGTTTATGTGGGTTTACTCTCCAAAGACTTAAAATGCAGAGGTCAGAAAACAAGCAGAGCTCTGACAGTTAAAAAAAAAGCAAGTTAAATTGAACCCAACAAACATTTAGACAGTACGTATAATATTTTCATATACAGTTTAAAAGTAATTAATTTTGAATTCTGCTATTTTGCTTCAACAGTGTTTGTTGGCTTCTTACATATGCTTCTAAAAAAAAAAAATTCTCAACTGTATACAGAAAGGCAACTACATTTGTATAATGGATATAACTCCAAAACATACTGCACAATAATTTCATCAGTGCATCCACATTTTAGTTTGACTTCCTCAAAACACTGACAAGGTTTAAGATTGTAAATAACTTCATGAAGTTAGATTTTTGTACATTTAGACTGTCAGCTTTATTGGTGGTCTGTATCAGTCAGAACTCCCTCTTACCCAGGCACGTCTACAGGGACACACATAAAGTTGTATGTTTACTATAATCAGAATTTCTGTTCTTTCAAACATTACAGATATATTTACTCTGAATTTTCAGTATTTTTTTAAACAGTCGTCTTGAAATTCTTAGCTATGCTATTATTTTCAAACAATGCTGTGACCATGATTTACCACTTCAGAAAAACAAAAGGAAAAAATATTCCAAAAAGTCACACGGAAAATATTGCAGAAGAAACATGCTTTTAATAAAGTATCTTCAGGGTTTTTTTCAGTTCAGAAGCTTTTGGAGACTATTTGGTTCTAAAATATAACATCTAATACTCTGAATTACAACAGTGATTCAAATCACAAGTTAAATAGGAGTATTTGGAGAAATAATTATAAATGATATTGAAACAAAACAGGGTGGTTGTACTACAACAAAGCACTTACACGCCAAATAATTTACTTCCATTAAAAAGTGAAAATAGAAAGCTTATCACTTTCATATACCTTATTAATATAATGAGTTTTAGCAAATACTAGAAATTACAGTGCAAGAATTAGTGGGGACAAGGAACAATGGCTGGGTTTTTTTTTTTCTTCATATTACTTACAAAAAACAGTAAAAGAAGAAATGTGAGACAGCTCTGTATTGTCAGAAATTAACCAATGAAATACTAGTTCTTAAACATAATACTAGGATTTGCAACAGGATGCAATGAAACTTCTGCACAGTTTACATTTAAAAAAAAACCAAAAAACAAAAAACAAAACATAAACCCATTGCTTAGTTATAAACACCTACTGTTCAAGCTGATTTATCCACTAATATAAAAATACACCCACACATATACTAAAAATATTTGTACTTAAATTGTATGAACTAAGAACAGATTGCTATCTGAGCTGCACTCAAAGCACTTAAATAGGGACAATTCACTGAAGTCTCTGATGCAGGTCACTGGTGACATTTTTAACAGCACAGTGGAACAAAAGTATTTCTGGAATAACTCCACGGTATAAAATCCGGTAGCACAAAATTACCCACTTTTCTTTGAGACAGCGTAAGAATGCATATATTATAGAAGTATGCCTTTCAGAAATCCTTTATTTTTGATAGAGATAACTGTATCAGATAGGAACTAGGAAAATTTTTCAACTTTAGTCTATCTTCAAACACAGGAAACATCATAGAAAAGAGCACAACAAATCATATTTTCAATTATTTCCAAACCTCACAAATATATCCGTAGATCTCTAAGGTAACAAGATATGGTAGCACTACTTTGGGCAAGATTCATGTCACATCAGTCTAATAATCTTAACGGCTCCATTCAGAGCTGACGATTAGGCTGCAAAAAATTATCGACTATACATGAAAAGCACAGACACGGTTCAGGTTAGAGGGCATGAGGTGTGCCTGACACTGAGCAGCTTTTAGGCATCTGTAGTTAGACATGAGAAAGAATCAGTATGGAAGCTTCTGCTCTGGCCTGCAGAGGGAGGGAAGAGAAGGGGAAGGAGGGCTGTGGCTGCCCCTCAACCATCTGGGGAGAGCTCAGCTGGAACAGGCTTAGAGATTCCTGTGAGCTCCATGAGTTTCTGCATTTGGAAGAAGTCAAACCAGGCATGAAGAAGGTATTTTGGTGTTAGATGATGAGAAGAGGTACTGGGTTACTAGGTCTTATAAATGTATAAGGAGGCTTTTCACTTTACTGCTAGCCTCTCGGCTTACCTTTTGCCTTCACAAGGCACAGAGTGTCACCTTCCTACCTGGCAAAAGCAGACTCCAGTCTGCCTCCTCACAAATACCCATCATCTTCACTACACTCTGGCATACACATTTATGTATTGGAATGGTCAGCAAAAAATAGATGAACCAGCAGCTCAAAAAAACCACAACTATATCACAGTTCTTTAAAAAAGGGTAGGGGGAGGGAATCACAGTTGTTACCTTCGACAGACTGACTATAGCTGGAATTGCTTCTAAAGACCAAGCAAAGTATTTTCAGGTAACATGACAGAAGTTAAAGCAAGACTTAAGAATTTTGTCATCATATTCAGAAACTACTGATAAACACAGGCAAATAAAATGAGATATGGGTTGCCACCCACTGGTTTTTAGACTCAGAAATTCATTGTTACAACAACCAAGCAAGCTTTGCAACAGCTGGAACAGTAAACAGATTTTCCTGAAGACCCTTCCTAGGTATTCCCAAAGAACACCGACACTCCACAGCCTGTTTAAGTTCTAAGAATGTGCACTTCTAAGAATCAGAATTACCTCTTTAAACCCTTCTGGTTACATTACAGTAATCAGGTCCATTCATACAAAGAACCCTCTACACAGGGGATTGAGTCAAACGACATTAAAAAGTAGTAAAGTATTTCGAAGTGTAAGAGATGCTAAATATAATTTCCTACCTATTTCTGGCAACGAAAGTGGACTTGTATCTGTTATGAAATAAAATTTTGGTCTGAAGTGTTAAAAAAATTAACACATGCATTTAATCTCTGTACAGAGATGAAGTTAACAGACTAAAAGAACCACTCACATGTGAAGTAAAGTATTCGGATGAGCCTTTGCAAAATCAGGAATCACACGTAATGCCCAATAATTTATCTGACAAATCTTCACTCCCCAACAGCAAAAGAAAGCTTCTGAAGACACACTTGCTTTTTCAAAGCTGGCAGGTGAAGATTTTACTAATCACTTCAGGATTCAATAGTCCAATTCATGAATGTACACATCTGTGTGTCTTGTAAACTCAGCTATTACACAATCAAAATAGCTGATTTTACAAGATTGGCTACGTACTAAAACGCTTCAATTTCTAATAGAGAGATCAAATTTCAGATCTCTACAAGGATACTCTCTTTTAAAATAAATATTTTTATTTTACCTTGCATAAAAAATTTAGGGAAGAAATTAGCAAATGGAACCCTAGAAGGAGAGATTTTTACTGGAAAAAAATTTTAACATTTTGATTAAAATATGCTGCAGAGCCCACGTTTTACATCACAGTTTGCATTTTTCTTTGCTTCTTATGTGGTTTTGACTTCAGCATATACTTTGGGTTTTTTTAGGTTTTGGGTTTTTAAGAGTTAAAGTGCTCTATTTAGTTAGAGCATTTACCCCTGATCTACAACCTCTGATATTTCTAAAGTACAAGCAGCACAATTACATAAAATTACTATTTTGTTAGACAGAATGCTATGAAGAGACCATTTCATCTTGTTCTGCACATTACAAAAACATATTACTCTGAAAAACTTTTCAGTTAAATGATGATCAAATACGTTATCAAAATTTGTGGAATGGTGTTTCATGCAATAAACATTCTTTTGTTTATAGCTAAACTTTATTCAACAGGCAGAACAAAGACAACAATGGAGTATAAAGCAAATATCCTTTATGAAAGTTCATTTAATATGCAAGTCATAATAACATATATATTGGCGGTTATAATACATGTGAATATAGTTTATTTTTAGTAAGTGAATAATAATATTTATTAGCATTAACTAAACAAATAATGCTGTGACCAGTTATATTACTAGCAATTAATAAAATTCAAGTTCCACGTGAGTCTATGTAGTAATTAATGGCATACAAGTTTAAACTAAATATTATGTTTATCCGATTTATTAGACTTAATGTAGCAATTTAAAGGACATCCTCAAATGGGATTGATTACTTACACTAGACTGTATTAACATACAACCCTTTTTTTTCCCTAGCTGAATTAATTAGCTTTGAGACTTAAAAATACATTTTCTTAAATACACTTTAGTCTAATAAGAGGTTAAAACAATGTTGGGAATTTCATGCAGATTTCGGCTTTCATGTGGCTGACTAAAAACACCCTGTTAAACCTCACTTAAGGGATTTAAGTTTAGAGAAGCCTCTTTCATGAAAATATTTAGAAACAGTCGAAGAACACTCAAGTACGCTATACTAATGAAAAATGCATTTGTCAAACCAATTTGTTTGAAGGTTGTTGCCACGCTGTTAGAAACAAGATCCACACTATTCTTTTAGAGATTTCCAAGGCAAGCTTGCATACTCTTTCTAACTGCTAGGAAGAGCTAAAAATAAACTTGTGCTCCTTGTAAAATTTGTAATTTCTTCATCATGATGGAATGCAACAAAACATCTTGCCCTTGGGTTGCTCTGTTTCAGCCAAAACAAATGCAAATGGCTTGTCAGATGACAGCTGTTTGATAAGGCTCCTCTACAAGACCTGCATGCTTTACTTTTTTCCGTGAAACTTGGGATGAAAGGCAGAAGGCAGGAAGAGAATTAATGTAGCATACAGTCTAAAGGCAATGCTACAACCGTGATTAAGTAGAAAAGTTAAAAGGCACAGATTTTCCACAGCCTCGCTGCGTGCAACCCATCCGTGTAACAAGTTGACAGGCCTAGCGCGTCAGCTCCATCATCCTCTCCGACAGCTAAAACGCAGCATTGCATCCCTTTTCAGAGAAAATTTGCGTCTGCACCATGAAGCGTTGTACATTATTTCTTAGCACTGCAGGGGGCTCAAGTCCATATGGAACCTTCACAAATATTACCACAGATCAAACCAGCGGCGTTTCGAGGCAGATTTGACATACCTATTTAAATGAACAGCAGGGGTCCTCGGGCTGCCTCAGGCTGTGCAGGAGAAAACCTCTGTGGAAAGCCTATGCTGCAGCTCCATTACTCAGCAAAGACACACTCTACATTTATCATTCATTTCATTTCTGCCAGGGCATGAAGCTCATTTGCCCAAGGTCAACAACAAAGAAAAAAAAAAAAAAAGAGGGGGGGTGTTTTTTATTCTCCCAAAGAAATAAATGTACCTGACAAGTGGGGATTTTGTCCTTTGGGTAAGCAGAACGCAAATAAATATCAGATAATTCTAATAAAAACACTACAGTTAGTAAAGCTGTTCACTGAATTTGATAACAATTTTTTTTTTTTTTTTGACACCAGACTAACTGTAGAACTAACTTTTTAAGACTATCTAATGAGGAAACAAAATCTGACACGACTGTCCAATTAAATATTTCTGCATACATTATTAATGCTTTTGTCTTCTATAACTACACGTAAGAAACATGTCCCTCTTTCTATAAACTCTTCTAAAGAGGCAGATAATGTTTGTGCCATTGATGGTCAGATATGAAATGTCTGTTCATAATCCATGTTAAGACCCAGGGTCTAGTGATGTTCTATTAGATATAGCTTTTTTCATAAACGTAACCAGATGCAGATCCTTTACTCCTGGAACCATACTAATCAGAAAAAGCCTTAAGTTTGCATGAATGGAACAGTCTTAGAAAAATCAATTAAGCAGTTTAAATGCAAATTTTCTTCACACTGAATGTCAGCACAAATAACATTTCCTATAGCTTTGCCCTTCAGGGGGGGAAAAAACCCCACAACTATTTTTTTATTCTACAATAAATTTTTCTAGAAACAGCCATTTTTGTTGTATATGCGTTCTCCACTACTAACCTTATGCTACTAACCAGATACAGCCTACAAGAAAGCGTTCAGACTAGTCAAACCCAGTCCACAGACAAAACTGTAAAATAAACCAAAAATTAAAGCAAGAACTATTATGTAGTCTGTTCTCTTAAATGTGACATAAAAATGCCCCTAATAATGGACATCATGACATAAAAATATACATTGCATTTAGCTTCAGCGGTGATATTATGGCCTACTGTGAAAACATGAGTAAACTCAGGAGCTCCTGATATGCATCTCTAGAACAACATGTACTTGACTGGGAGCTAACATTATTTATTACAGATAACATACTTACATGCATTAATGAATAATATGACTGCTTGCCAGTATAAAAGAGAAAGTGAAATGGTCGGCCATCTTCTCCCCACTGGATTTCTAATAAAAAGCAAGATTAGACAAGAAAGCAATATATACTCTCTAAAAACCCCTTGTATTTAATTGCAGTTATAAACCTCTTTCATAATACTGATTACCTTTTTAAATATCAGAGAACAAAGACATTTTACAGGTATTCAACCTGTCTGGAAATCTAATGATTTAGACTACCTTGTTAAAAACCAATCTCCATCTGCAATTATAACCAAATATTTAATATAATATTTCTAAATATCGTTTAACATGAGGGAATCCCTCATGTACATCTTAAATAAACTTTCAAAGACTGTATAGTTGGTATTACAGATAGAAGTATCCATTTTAGAACAGGAAGAAGGACAAATTAAGAGACAACTGAAATCTACATCATGATTGTGAAAGATGAAAGATTAACAGCTCTGGAAAACAGTGCTTTAAACCCAGAGCAAATTTTTTATTAGTATATGTCTAAACTAAACTAAGTATTCGTGCAATTGTCTTTTGCAGGTAACACAACTGTATTCAGAACTTGGTTGATTTTAGGACTTGTTCATGTTGATACGTTTGGGATATTTAAATACAAAGACCTATGCTATAGTTTACATAATTAGTTCAGCAAGAAAACATACGTTCCACATAATTCAGCACATCCGGTTTATTTTATTCATTATAAAAGTGTTATTTAAGGACAAATAAATTTCAACTTCGGAAAAAATCAAACTTAAATATAACATGACAAAGATCTTTTCCAAATAAAGAAAAGCGACAAAAATAAAAACCTGAGAGCTTTTCACAAATTGAACTTTAGAGAAACTCCCAGCCATTTTATCCAGTGAAGTTCAAATGAAGCTATCTACAAGCTATAGACAAAGATAAGACTCCAAGAACCCATCTGATAAGCACGATATGTATTGCATTGGAACATTAAGACATAATATGGCAGAAGTTGAATGGAAAGATGCAAAAATTACTAGAACAGAAGGAATACAGGGGGCTTTTACCCACACATGCTACTAGTGGAATGTGTGAATTTCCATGTATGCAGCTGTGAAAGCATATTTTGTTGAAATTACTGTTCAGGGAACATTCTGAAGTATAAATTTACGTTTTCGTACTTCATCAAAGACATAGTGCATAGACAAGACAAAGCTGCCTTAAAAGAGATACTTATTGGAAGTGTTATTTTTAGATGTAAATACAAAGATACACATTTTTACTAATTAGTTCTTACGCTCCTCAGGACACAGCTAGCATTTCAAAGAATTCTTTAGTCCTGAAAACATATAGAATAGTAGCTTAGTTCTGCCATAAAAGAGCCCTTGGATTTTAAAATTGCATAATGATTAACTCTGTCTTACCCTTTCACTTTCCACTTTTTACTTCACCATACTGTGAAGTTAGAAAATAATGCATGATACCATTTGAAAGCTGAAATTCCAAAATTTCAGATAATTTAGACAGCTTTCCGAAAGACACACAAAGCCCCCAAATCATCAAGTATCAATTAATTCCAGGAGCAGGAAAAGGAAGGAAGGAAAATGGTAAGATTTCACAGATAATCAGAAGTGTCCATCTGGGACTTGATAGCTCAGCAAATGTAGAATTTCACACTCATGCTACTAGTTCATACTAAACGTGAGTCAAAAGTGGACAACAGGTTTTGACATATCTTTTAAATATTCTATGGAAAATCAATTTGGCGATTTCAGTGAAGTTCTCGCTGACCAACTGACCAACATACTGGCATATCACTGACAACTGGGACTTCATACGGTGTCTCAGGAGCAAAACCAAAACCAGTACAGACACAAGCACAAGGTTAGGACTTTCAGGTCAAAACTGAGACACGACTGCGAGAGTTCCCACTCTCCCTATTCTCTCAACTGGCAATTTCAAAGCTGTAATTTCTAAGCTTTTAGAGCAATAAAGTTACCAGGAAAACTTTTGGTTTAAAATAGTATTAATGAATATTTTATGGCTGTGATAGACAGCTCTGACAAAAAGCTACTGAATTCAACAAAAGGTTTTCCCGTGACTTCAATGGATTCTGCACGTCATCCTACCTATTGTTTATTTTTAAACAATGAAAAACATTTATTTATAGTCAGTTAACGAGATGTCTGAAAAGGCCACTGGTATTCCAGAATCCAGCAGTATTTTTTATCCTAAAAATCAGAACATCAGATCAGACTTTTACTGCTCATGTCTCAGCAGTTATTTTTTCCCTTGTGTTCCTAGTAAATCTGCGAAAATAAGGAATTCTACATATGCAAAAATTCTAATACTTAGAAATAATTTAAAAAAAAAAAAAAAATCTATGAACACTTACTTCTCTGCTCTGGAAAAATTTCAGTAGGATGCTGTAAATAAAGAAATAAACATCAGTAAAAGGAAAAAAATTACTTAAAATATCATGCTACAGTTATTCAGAAATGCAACAAAAAATCCTACCTTCATCATGGGCCTGGCTTGTTTGTCAAATAAGCCAGAAGGAAAGAGATAGGCAATAGCTCTCTGAAAACAAAAAGAGAGATCATATATGTAATTTTTTCCACAAAAGTGTCATCAAAACATTTCTTAGGTACTCTCACAGAGAAAAATTGCATAACTTTTGTACAGTAGGCAACCAAATCAGTAAGGAAGAGTACTGCATGTGTGCTGTGCTGAAAAGCAGATCATTTCCTCAGGAATCCTCAGGAAAAGTAAAACCTCATTCTGAAGGCTGTACTCTACTATATCAGAATGAGTAAACTTCCTTCAGCAAAGTTTAGTTTTTATGGTATGCATTCATCATAACTTACCAGAACTACTCAAGTGCAAAGACCACCTTTATACACAGTGATTTTCCCCTAAAACTTCAACTGCTGCGACTTCTAGAGGAAATCACAACATTTAATTTATCCTTCTGAAAATATCAGTGCTTGTTAACAGTGCCTACTGACAGACCAAGCATGGAAATTTTATTTAAAGCAGTTGGACAAAGCAAAGTTTTACATATTTAGAGGCCCAGTTTCTACAGGCGTCTTCTCCTCAAATCTAAAAGCAATGTTTGTTGTGGCAGTAGAAGATATTTTACATAGCCTAAATAAGCATTTCATTGATCACTGCATTTGGAAACAACTGCGAATCACTACAATCTTTGCTGAACTTGAACTAATTGCTCAGAGAAGAAAGCCTCTTAAATGCCATCTTCTTCTACTTAGATACCTAAGGGTTTGACAAAACAATTTAGAAAAACATATGACATTCATTACACACTCATAGTTTACCACTGTTTTCACTAAGTACAAGGTACATAATTCACTTTCACTTAACCAATATCTACGACTATTCATGTGATGTATAAAGTTAGTACTATTTGCCTCCAACAAATAAAGTGGGTATAGCAATATTCCAAATCGTTCTGGCAAAATGTAAGGCAAAGTACCTTAGAAGGTTAAGCCCAATGACACGCATTTCTGTTCAACATCATCTTACTCTCCCTCTTCAGTGTAACTAAAACATAATTTAATAAAGCAAAAATATGCATTTATGAGAGCTGTTTATTTCCATTTGTTTTTAAAAACAAAACAGAAAAAGCTAGCCGTCAAAAACCCCCAGATGTAGGGGTCTGGCAAGCATAGCCAATTTCAGACAGTGGGTAGTAGAGCTTCAGATAGAAGTCTTGTGCTTGCACAGTAACATGGACTATCCGAATAAACGCCTCTGGCAGTGGTCTCGTTTATATTTCCATTAGACAGTACGGAAAAGTAGAATTACAATAAAATCAGAGTTTGAAATCTTCTCTTAAGAAGAATGGCTCTTTGTTGGTTAGGCTACCTTAAGGCTATTGCTTGCTTATAATTTTTTCCATGGACATGGAGTGGTTTGTCAGTGCCTCAACCGATTTAATATGCATGGAGTGTAAAAAGACCTAACCTATTACTTTCGTTAATCCCCTACTGGCATTCCGAACAGAAATTTTGAGAATTCTGAAGCAAACAAAAGGCTTAACTTGATTTTATGAAATGGTAATTTTGTTTCTCTTAGTGACTACTGTATTCCCATTTGTTAGTCAATGGGCATTTTATGCATACACACAGTAGGTGAACACCTATTTATGAACAAATGGGGATTAATTATGATGACAATAGAGAAATCTGCTGTGAGCCAAATGATGTTAAACAAACACCTTATATAATATATTAAAAGAATTTATTACAGGATACTGAGACTGACTGTGTGTGTACTTAAGACGTAGTCTTTATGCAAGCATTTCCAGAATCTCAGTCAAAACAGTTACTCTAACTATGACACCTTAATAAATGCCAAATACAACAATTAAACTTTTATAATGAAAAGAGTGGATGCCGTTTTAGACCTTCTACTTCTAGGAAGTTTATTTTGTATTGCTTGAGTGTATACTCATGTCTTTCACACTAAAGTATAAACAAACCCTGAATTAAGAAATCCTAACATCTGCTTTCATCTCTCCACACAACAACTAGCCAAAGAATAATAGTTCACTTCATAAGTTTGCCTTTTTATTGTTCCAAAATGGAAAGAAATAGTCTTCCTGCCTTCTCCCTTTTTATGGAAATGTAATCAAGGATGGGGTATTTGTCTTTACATCCGATTAGGAACTATCCTTGGATGTAACAGACTCCAGTTCAACTTCATTCAGAAGTTTCTTCTTAATTTTAAATAGCTGTGTCCTTAGACTGTACTTTTAGCAACCACATAGCACGTCAGTCTGCCTCTCAGAAACTTCGTTTATAGAACCTGATTTTGTCTATGCAAATGTTTCAGTTTTGCAGAAAAGTAGTATTTTGGAAAAAACGTAATTCTCAACACCCATGTGTACTAGCGATAAAATAAGATGGTGGATCAACCTTAAGAATGACATCAGAATTAGTCTCTCCAGACTGCAGCTGGAGCACATAAATAACCATGAAATATTTTCCTGAAATCTTTTGACAATGTCTTCAGATTTGGAAGACAGGCTTCTTTTCAGGAATCTCCATGCCCCAAGTCAAAATTCTGCAGAGAATTAACTGCACATTCTGCATTTTCCTGAACATACAAAAAGCAGGTGAACATCCCTCTTAAAACTTTACAATCAAGGTGTAAACACTAGCAGTAAAGTTCCCAAGAAACCTTTCAGATTTAACTGCAGTTTTTCATTCCAAGAGTGGTTTTCAGCTTAAGGGTCATGGCCCATATCCTTCTTCTAGTGCTTAATTTGACTTGAACTCTAGATGAGAAAGGAAATGTGCTGAATATGACCAAGAACTACTTTCTTCAGGCCATCATTTCAGCTACACAAGATTCATTCACCCCACTCTAGCCTCCACAGGTTCTGGGCTGCTATTTCACAATTCTATTTGTTAAATCACAGTGTTGCCATTGTCTTTGGAAATAAAACACAACTTTCTAAAAAAGAAACATCCATAATTATTTTCAGCAGAAACACAATTAAAAATCCTGGTACTTGGTAGCACAATGGTGTTTCCTGGCACCGAGTAAAACAATGGTGTTTCCAAAAATAATTACGTAAGCTACTGGAAAAAGGTAGAATGGATACAGCCTGCTTCTGCTATAACTTACTAAAAATTTTATCCATTTCCTTTCAGGATTTAAAAGTGTTTGGCTTTTTAAACTCTACCTTTGATCCGCACAGCAAAAAAAAAAAAAATACCCAGTAGTCACACCTTTGAAAGTAGCAGATCATAACGAATACATGTTAGTAACAAGATGGTTTACATCAGACATTTCTTAAACTGCATTGGTAAACTTAACATTCCTGTAACAAACTAAAAGGAATCCTGTTATATCACCACTTGTTGAGGGACCGGATGATTCAACATACTGCCCACAGGACCAGAATGTCTTTCACTTGCAGCTCTAAGTTTGAATTCAAGCCAGCTGGAATAATGAGAACAAGCTTCCACCCCTATATAAAAAAAAAATAATCGTATCTGGCAGTCCTTGAAACATGCAAACCAATTCATTAAATAATCTGTCCAGCACTGCATGTGGCATGTTGTGCAAATTCAATATACCTGCCACACCCTCATTTTCCCTCTTCACTGTGCGTGTTGCAGATGCTGACTTCTGATCCTCCTTCCCTTCCCACCTATCTACAAGCCAAGAAGTTTTGTTCGCTCACTTTCTCAAACATCAGAGACTAACTCTGAATCAAACAAGTTCAGCTGGCTCAGTCTGGATTACTTTTTTTTTTTTTTTAAATGCCTTGAGAAATTAAGAATTCAATACTTCAATTCAAATAGAGTTGATTGAGCCGTACTGGGATAGGAGAAGGAGATTAAGACAGTTCTGTCTTTAAATAACCTGCCATAAGTAGGAGAGGTTTGGCAGGGCAAATTGATCTTGCCCAAGTGTCTTCCCACACTTCCGTTGAATCTACAGCTCAAAGACAAAACATGCAACTAATATTCATTGCTCAAATTCTGGGCAAAGATAGTTATCTACGTAACATCCAGTGAGGAAAGGCATTTTGTAGGACAAAAGGAAAGAAGAAGAAGAGGGGGAAAAAAAAAAAATCGAAAACCTCCACTCTGGGATTCCCTTGCAGCAGCACCCTTTTTGGCAGAGGCCTCAAGAATCCAGCTCATTGCTTTTTAAATATACATGAAACTTTAATCATCAAAACATTGAGGTTAGAAGTGACACTTTATGCCGCAACGTTTTAACAAAACACCTGAGCGGCAGCTGTTTCAGCTTCTTCTACTCCTCAACTTGGTCACACGAGAGCCACTTCCCTTCTTAAACCTCGCCTCTTGAATCACATTATTTAGCCACTGTACTTCAGCATTCCTCAGACTGAGATGTTTGCCAGAACAGCTGTTTTTCCTTCTAACCACACTAGCAGTAGTCTTTAAAAGTTTTCAGCATCCAAAATCCAGAATATTTGGGGTAGAACCAGTAATGAATGAAACAAAAACAGGACATGAAATGTTAAGTCTGAAATAGCTTTTTTATTTAAGAAGACAGAAAAGGTTAACCAAAAAAAAAAACCCAAACAAACAAAAAAAAAATCAGTGACACACCAAAGTTTACTTCATAAAACAAAATCCTCCTCTAATAACTAACCACTGAAATTTATTGAAACCACCCCAATCATTTGTCACTGTTCATCTAAAGCTGAATTCTAGCTTGGACAGAAAGAAATTTCAAGTTCACAGTGACATATCATTTTAACCCCATCAATTAAAAAACAAAAAAGCCATACCCACTAGCATTATATGAAAAAAAATCTTCTTTTAAAATTAATTATTTTTATACTAAGTAATAATGTTCAAAACAAAAATTGATGTCTTGTCCAGAGCTTGCAGAGCAAAAAAAGCCAAAAACCTGTCGAAAGAAACAGTCATTATTTGTCTTCATGTCACCTTTTCAAAACACTTAACAGTATTAAAAAGAGTAAAAAAAAAAAAAAAAAAACACAGCAGTCATCAGATCAACTTTGATTCAGAAGTAAGAAAATACTGATCCAGAGTTTGGCTCCACTGGGAAAAATAACATTGAAAAAAGACATTCTAGGTTGAACTCTTAAAACACAATAAAAAATCCAATATTTCTTGTAAGGACAATGCTGGACAACATGCTCTTCTTGCAGACAACAGAAAGTTCAGAAATGCATATTGCTCTGAATAATGTTTCACACATTTCACATATGCCAATATTCACTCATTTCTAATACTTCGTATTGCTAAAATTTGGATGTTATTTAGAAATGGGATGTGCTGAGCCACTTTTAAAAGCAATTGAATACAACCTATTTTTCATTAAAGTAGTCTTAATTCACTGAAAGAAACTATACCCTATGAGGAATGAAGTTTTTCCATGTTTAACATTTTCATAGGTAACAATCTTACTGGTACTTTTGCAACAATATATATGCTAGTGAAGATAAACGTATATTTTAGATTCAAATTATTCCATCTGCTCGACAACAATCTATTAGGTCATAAGCCAGACAAGAGAAAATGAACATAGATCTCTAGCTTTTGAGTTTTACTAACTCTTATGGGGAAAGAGAGTTGCTTTATGATGAGCTCATATCTGGGAGAGCATTTAGTGACTGCATAAAAATGAGTAATAAAAATACTGGCATATAAATAGGTCATGAAGATTAAGACTCTTTTCTTGTATTAATCTTACTTAGATTTCTGGGCTTTAAAGTAGAGTATCACAGAACTGACAGTGGAAAATGAAGGTGGGCTGTTTACTACAACCAGAAGTTAAAGTTAAATCACAAAATAAAAGGATTACAGACTCAACCAGGGAAAAGCACTAGGTCAGGACTGCAATCTCTATTAATTAGGTATCCCAGCTGGGCAGTGGGCATGCAGCTGTTAACTTGATCAATGACTTACCTAAATGTCATCTCTACTGATTCGCTTATAAATTACCAGCAAGTGAGACTAATGTACAGGTGCTAATTTATTTAAACTGTTCTCTGCAGTTCTACATAGCTTTATAAACTGCATCTGGCACCTAATGTTAGCTGTCAGTTGTACTTAGACATGCCTGTCCTAACGACTCTGTTCATTAGAAATGAGCACAAATTATGAAATATTGTGAAAAATGATACATCAAATGGAATGGGCAAAGCAAATCAATTAGAGAAACTTCATAGCACATATTCACACATAGGAGAATAAAACATCCTAGCTTCAGAGTAAGGTCTATAATACCAATTAAAAAGCAATTGGTAGACTTCTGCAGAGTTATATATCAATTTGCTGGATTTTTTTTTTCTCGTCCAGAAATACAGTTGTAATGCACAGCTTAACTTTTCATTCCTAAATAAAAGTACCAGTAAGAGGCAATTCTGTTTCCACAACGTCCAGAAGGATTAGCAAGGAAGTCAACTTATTTTCCTGTTTAAAACTTCACAAGGTTTAGCTTTTACTAAACTATACCTAAAACTCCAGTGAAGGACAGAATCCTATGATGTCTACTTTTGAAATACACCGCACAGACTGATTAACAGTAGAAGACATGGAGGTATATAAGCACTCATCAGAAAGAATTATTACTATTTGAAATGTAAAGCTTGATAATTCTCCCGCCAGTGCTTAAGCAGCTTTTATATTTCTATAACAGAAATTTAATTATGCATAGCAGACACTATTACACACTCTAAGTATTTTCCAACACCTGATAAAATATGAACAAATCAAACACGTACCACTTGGTATCAGCAAACAAAACACTACTCTTTTGGCTCCACTTTTACATCTTTTCAGAAACAGAGCCTGCAAAGCAGTCCTGTACTTGTCACCTGCACTGCATGTGTAAAAGCTAATTTCCAGAATGAATCTGCTTTTACTAATGAGGGAGCTCAGATAATTTTGTGCAAACGATCACAGTGCTATGGATTCATAAAGAAGAAACCACTACTTAGAGTCATTTTCCATTTCTTGCAGTCTTGCTGTCTGTAAGCCTTCCCCCTAGACTCTATCAAGGAAGGAAGCCAGACTGCAGATTAATGCATTCTCCTACCATTAACCTTTCGGGCAAACAAACTGAACTATTATCATCATCATCGTACTGTACTAACAAGGGAGATATTCTGGTGGCAGGTCTGTGCATGAATACTTCACAAGAAAGTAACTCAAAGATACAGATGTTTTTTCTTGCCTTTAACCTGAAAATCATAGGAAAAGGAAATTCTATAGTCTGTACAGAAATAAGAAAGCCAACGTAAAGAAACAGGCTGCTATTACTGCTGACCCAGATGCCTCAACAAATACTTTTACTGTTGACAGGACCTCATCCACTCTACACTGAGACCAGAAGGGCCTCCGCATTGTCTGCAGAAGAGCAAAGTGGTATCTACAATTCAGAATGAAAGTATTCGCAGTATCACTGCATAGCTTTGTACTCATAAAGCTTGATTTCCTACAGATTTGTGACTTGAAGTCAAGCTTCGCTTATGGATTTACTGATACCTGATAAGACTTTGAGTCTCATTTCAGCCTTTTTCTCAGCAGGCCATTAACTGTGTGTCTCTTCTCTACTTTGCTGTCTATTTTCAGAGAAGTTTTCAGAACTTAGTTTTGAAGCCTGTTAAATGTTTTGAAAATCAGCCTGTATTACCACCTACAGACGTAGTTCTCTTTCTTGGCATAAGCATGCTGTCAAGACCTCTTATGTGGACACAGCTATGCTGACAGAATTTTGCCACTGAGAGAGGCAACAAACAATCTTCTCCCCCTGAAAAAACTAAACCATGCACACCTCTCTTTTGGCACATACCACATTACTACGTCTCCCCTAAGGGCCCTACTGTGCTGCCACGGCTATAGTAAATAGCATCGCTGCTGCGCAGAGAAAGCTTCAGCCACGAGACTTTATGCAGCTTCACCTAAAAGTGAATGTCACCAAATGACATTTCTCTTCCCTACCTCTGATGTGTGATAAAATAAGACAGAAATGACAGAAGTGAAGACCAGGTGGGACATTAAAAAAAGTCCATGCAACAAAACATTTTTCTGAGTGAAAGGCAGCATATCTATACATGAGCCTAAATGACAGAGAGAAAGAGGAGGCCACCCATCTGTCAGTTGTCAGAGTGAATGGCAATAAAATAGCATGTTCGGAGCTACTGATACGAGCTTAAATTCACATCTATATTAAAATCCCTAAGCTAAACTAAAGTGTTAGTTGTAAAACATCCTATAAAATTTAATTTGCATTACCACAACCGCAGTATCACAGAAGAAAACCTGACTTAAATATACACAGCAGGTCAAATTGTGGGTAAACGTTTCGAAGTGCTACATAAACCTTTACAGTGCCTCTTATAACCTCAGATCAAGGGGATTATCCATTAGGACTTTTAAATAGAACCTACTGTGCTTTAGCAAGATACGGTACACAGCTCTATACTGTGATGTCTGACCTCACATGGTATCAGGGATAGAATCTCTATTCACAGTCACAGTTGCAATGTTTGCAATGTATAGTAGCATTCTTTCTTATTCTGACAGTTTGATTAAAATTCACAGAGAGCTGAGGGGCTCATGCTGAAGTAAAGTGCTTTCAATATCTGAAACTCTACAGTAAATTACTTCTCCAACAGAGCAACTGTACTTACATCAATATCCTCTTGGGTAAAAGTTTCTGGATCTTCTCCCATCATGTTGGCTAAATGTCTCTTTCCTAGGTTGAACTCTTCAATCTGTTTTTTAATAAATGCCTCCGTGTACTTCTCAGGTCCTGAGGCTCCTACATTTTTCCTCTGCACTGCTGTAGTGGTATAGATTAGCCTTAACGTCTAACAAAAACAAAAAAGAAAAAAGAAAAGTGAGAGATTTATTTTATATTTTTGGCACAGTGAGCTCTAAATAAAATGAATGGTATAACAAGCCGTTTATACCTGTAACAAGATTCAGCACATTATTGTAATAAGTTAGAAAAGGCAGTATTACTCACAGCAGCATTTTCTTCCAGTTATCTATTGCCCATAAAGAGATAAACACATTCTAAAAGTTGAATATTTTCACACATTATAATTAATTCAGAAGGTTTTTCTGATGGAAAGAAATGTAGTATCATATGTCAGGAACATCCAGCAAAAGCAAAACACAGCACTGAGCAACAGATGCAGTCTTAAAAGAAAATAAATATCTACCAGCAAATAAGCAGGTTTTGCCTTCACCTAAAGGCATCCCATAACTAAGTACGAAAAGAATCTGTGGGGCAGCTCTTTAGTGGCTTTCAGAAGCATGTGGCTGCACAAACACTGCTAGGGGCTCTGGAAAGGCTACGGAATGCTCCTTCTTGTTCACAGCGCCAGGACGGTCCTTAAGCTATTTCACTATCTAGGTAGAACAATTAGAAAACCAGTAGGGTAGCTCTCACCAGCAACTACTACTGAGCATTGTTCAGAAGTCATAACTCAGGGGACAGTTATCTTTTGATCTTTGTGGGATACAGGTTTGGTTTTTCTTTTGTCAAGACAATCAGTAGTTAAGATGACTAATTTCAATCAAGCTCTCTGCCAGATGAACAGGAGCTTCACTGACAGAGCTGTAACATCCCAGTTCTGGCCTAGTGCCAATATTATGCACTATTTTGTCTCTCCAACATTAGTATTAAAGTCCTCTGCAGCCTAATTATTCCACAAACTGAATGAGAACTGATTATTTGTGTGGTCTTCTGTGGGCAGGGGGAGGGAGGGAATCACAAGGAAAAATGGTACATGGGACAGAAAAGCAAAGACAGAAAAAGAGTCACTTCTGAATCAGAAAAATGCCCAGTTCTGTTCACCAGATAGTACCCTGAAACACTTCTCTCCAGCCCCTTCAACGTGCCATGGCTTGGCTTTGTGAGCAGACAGTGCAGTTTCACAAAGCAGAGCAAGCCCATCTCACAGTTCACCCCTGCCAGCGTTCCGCCCTCCATGCCCTTCACTCGGCTCTGGCACTCAGACTCTTCTGCAAGCCAGCTCAGCTCCCTAAATGTGGCAGGACACTAACTTCTGCTTCCTCCCAACGAGTAGGCTGCTGAACTGGTAAGTCCAAGCAATTCAGAGAAGGCTCTGAGAACAGCCAAAGCTGACACGAGAAGGCGGCTGAACCATGCAACTGGGAGCAAGGAAGAAGAGGGGGAGTCCTCACTTTACCTTCATTTCTTTGAGCAAATTATTAAATTGCTTCTGCTGTTCCTGGAGCTGCAGCCTCAATCTACCTTTAGCCAAACATTAAAACCCAAACACACACAACAAAGTGAACTAGTTAGGGTTCTTATTACGAGGAACAGAATAAAGCCAGTACTTGAAAGGATTAAATGTTGCAAGTCTTCTTGTCTTCTCCAGATTGCAGTTTAGACATGCTGACTGTTTTCATGTACGTTACCATTCTGAGTTAAGCTAATATGAATAGCACAGAATACTTGCTGCCTTCCAATAGTTAATACAAATACAGCAGTAATCTTCAAACCAAGTTATAATTGCAATGATATGAACACACGTCTCCTCAAAACAAGATTACATGAGCATATTTGCAAGACAAACCCAAAAGCGGATCAAACTTCCACCTTTTGTTAGTAACACTAACAAGGTGAATCTGCAATCAATCAGTCAGTCACACTGGAACCTACCTTCTCCATTGCGCACTGCTTTCTAATGGAGAAAGAGACGTACTAAAAGGTATCTATACCCTTTTTAAAGATATGACAATCATCACTGGATTATGCTTTAATGACAAGATGGTAGCAAATGGTCACACTATGTGGGGAAAAAAAAAAAAAATCTAACCTCTTGTGTACTTCTCCTCCTTGACTTGAATACACTAGCTCACAAGTTAGCTTACGCAGACTTCTCCTGTGACTAGAAGCTTTGGGTGTTCTGTATTACATGGTCGAGTGCCACATGAGCAAGAAATGAAACACAGCTTTTCTTGTACTTTCACAGAGTCCAGTTCGTATTCCGGACATCTGGCAGCCCAGGATCGACTGGTGCAACACATTCAATTTCCTGCATGTATGTAAAGCTATTCATGATCAATTTATCTGCCCATGACTGTCTCAGGATTCAATAAACAAAATCTAACATCACCACTTGAAATTTCAATTTGGAATAAAGAGTACAATACCCTGCCTTAAACCTATGTATAGCACAAGCCTGTGCTGCAGGATAGGTCCTGTGAATTCAATAAGGCTTGATATAGCATGTAAAGTAATCTTTGAATAATAAGGGCACACAAGATGGAAAGAAGTGACCCTCTATGCTTTTACAACCTGTCATAGATAAAGATACGTCCCTCAAGGCCTGTGTACCTCAGAAAAGTAACCAATACCTCTGCCATAAAAGGTTTAGAAACAGCTGCAAGGCAGAATTCTGTGCTGAAGAGCCTGTAGTTGCTTTGTTTTCTTCACAGCTTATATGTATCATATGCAATGCTAGTCCTGGTTTGCCCCTTCCTTTTTTTTTTTTTTTTAATGTTTTCTGTGAGGTTACATTGACATATACAGAATTAAAAGAAAAAAATCAAAATTTTAAATGTACACATTTTCCACAGGCAAGGCTCTGGTGATTTCCTTAGAAAGCAGTAAGGAAAGCAGAGGTACCTCTGCATATTCCCTATTCTTCTCTCCCAGTCACTCCTCGGGAAAGAACTCAATTCATCTTCTGTCTTACTTGTCTTAATAGTAACTAATTATTTGTAATTCTTGTTAATGAACATATGATTCCTTATTACTCGGCCCAAAATTGCTTTCTCTCTGCTATGCTTTAAACAGAATACTTTAAAAAAGATTGCTTTCATCTTATTCCTGTCAATTTCTATTGTAATTTTCTCATTTTTGTCCTCCTTCCCTCAAGCTATTCATATTCTTCCCTAGTTTCAATTCGTCACTAATCAAAAGTCCCTGGACACATAAACTGTTCATAATTAGAAAACAGCCTCTTATGCAAATTAATATCTATTGTATTGGGTACCTCTTCTGGGATAAGAGTACTATTTCATGGGTGGTACAGGCAAGAACTGCAAAGCACAGCTAAATGCTTCTGGCATTTCAGTCAAACAAGAAAGCGTGCTCCTCTACTTTCTAGAGGAAACCACAGAGGTTTGCATTCACTTCTTACACATTTCATAAAGCATTACTGCAGACAGCAGCCTCACCATTTTTCAAATAATAATGGTTGTTAACAGCATTCCTGAAATAATAGGCTCTTCCACGAGGACAGGGGAGAAAGGAAAGCCTTTACTCCTGGACACAACTACTTGGTATTAACAAGCAACCTAGCATTAAAACAGTTTGGCAAATCCTGATTTTCCAGGGATGCCGTATATTTATAGAAAATCAGCTTATGTAAAATTTGCTTTAGAAAAAAAATAAGCATTTTCAGACAACTCCAACTTCTCTGGCCCATTTTTTCCAAGAAGAGAAATAACTAGGACTTGTCTGTTTACTTGTCCTGTTCATTTTGCTTCACTGGAGTTATATGGATATAAAATCAACACACATCAGTAACAGGGGAATCAAGCTTCCTGTATTTTTGGAATGGGAAGAAAGGGGAATTGGAGACAGGAGGCTTGAATTCAAGTGAAAACATTGTCCATTTTACAACATGACATAGTTACAGAGATAGAAGAAGACACCAAATGATGTGGCACGCATGCAGCTGCACCATTTTCATGCTGCTTCCATGCTGTAAGCCGGCAGACTTCAACCATCTCCTTTTCCAAAACCATGCAGCGCACAAATTTGTACTAAAAAATTATCTTTCGGATAGAACTTCACTAGGAGATGCGGAGCTGGAGCCGTATAACCACATCAGTATGCAGGACTAAAGCTGCCCTGTATCCATTGCCCCGATTGATTCCTGGCACACAGCTAGCCGTGCTGAACCCAGCAGACGTACAAGATGCCAACAGTAGTCCTCTGGTCACTTGTTGCACAAGAAAAAACATGTATTGTGTAGCAATCATATAGAATGTAAATGCTCGGACCCATCTCGAGTTTCTAAAGAATTACTTTTTGTTCAACAGGCGAGTTTTGGCTTTCTAGTGTGCTGTTTTACAAAGATGTGTTTAATTGATTTACTTAAACAGTATTTACATAATCTCAGATTTCAGTCTGCCTACGAACTAATTAGGCGACCCAGTATCAGGTTCATGTTTTAAGAAGCACTTTGTAAAACACATCAGAAAGTATCACGAGGTGTCAGCAAATACGCATAAGTGATTTTACATTACTTTTTATACCTGATTTCACAAAGTATTTCATCAGAAGAAACTCTGTCTCAAAGTGAAGTCTCTTCACAGGTAACTGTAAAACTACGTCTCCCCCACCCAGAAAATCTACTTTCTGTGCATATTTGACCAAATCTACATATTAAGTTGCACTTATGCTGTATACTACGGAAATAAAGGATAACTGAATGTACAGACACATGGCAAGTGTCAGACGTGCATAACAGGGAACAGAATTTAGATCCGGTTGTTTTGAGGCGCAAGTTATCAAATACTAACAGGCTCTTCGACTCTAGCTTAGTTAACAACTGCAGAAAAAGCTACTCCATTCCAAGCATGTAGTTCTGAAAGACTGTCACCAAAGTGCTATCGTCTCTTTCTGATATCAGCACATATACCATCCACAGTGATTTAGATAAGGTAGCTGACCCAATCAAATTAAATAGCATGTATGGTGCTCTGAACTCTTCTGTTGAGAACAGCTATTGAATCACACCAGAAGTGACTGACAGTAACTAAGCTAGAACTTTTTTTTTTTCTTCATATATTGTGCTACATCTCTGTGTTTTGCTTA